AATGCAAAAAGACCTCAAGGAACCGCAGTAGTGTTTGTCTGCTTAAGGCAGAGTTACGCTGTATATTGCATTTAGGGAAATAACTTGCATTGTGCTTTTTTTTAAAAAAAAAAATAAGAAAGAATTTATAATCATCTAACAGAGGAGTGTAACAGAGTAACGTTACGCCAGCGCAGGGTATGTTTTTGTCACTCGTATTTATTGTGACTCTAAATCTTTGATAATAAAACGAAAACTTTAAAAAAAATAAAAATAAAAAAAAAATCCCACTAAAACCTGATAGTCAGTCTCAATGGAGGGAGAATCTGAACTCGGTAACTGTACATTGTATTGTGAGGGATTTTTAGTATTTGAATGACAATAAAGAAATGGACAAACTCTCGCCTCCGCCTCTTCTTTCGGGTGGGTCGCTCCGTGCACGTCGCCTCCAGGGGATGGTGCCGGGCAGGGGGCTGCAGGTGGCCACCGTGGCTCCTTTGGTCATCGTGGGGTCGCTTGCCCCAAAACAAAGGAGGATAGGAAAGGAAGGGGACAAGGAGGTGAAGCTGATGCTTTGAACCTAAAAACTGCAAATGGATTTACGCCTTCTGTGTGATCGCTGTTCTGTGCCTGGCACCCTCTTCCCCATGTCGTATGTGACCCAGGGCAGAGCCTGACCCCAAAAGAGCGTGGAGAAGACGCAGGAAATTCTCCTCCAGTGGTGTGTCCATGCCTTGGACAATCAGATGGGATCTGGAGAGCAGCAGTGGGGGTTTGGTGCTTCCCAACTCCAAGACCCGCGCACATCTCATGTGAACAGATGGATGAGCTTGGCTAAATCCCCAGCGAAACTCAGCCGAGGTGTGGAAGACCCCAGCGGATCCCTGCCCTCCTGGCAGCGAGCAGAGGGATGTAGATCATGAATTTAACAGGATCGTCGTCATCTGTCCCATCAGCACGTGCCGTGGTGTAAGGAGGAAGGTGCCCTTTGGCTGCGCCCTCGCGAGCTGTCCTGATGGAAATCACCACGGGAGGAAAAGTGGCTTGGTTTGGGTGAAAGCAGGAAGTTTTTGGCGCCGTAGAACCTGGTTTTGGAAGGGTGAGAGGCAAAGTGATGGGAGCAGCACCCTGGTCCTGCGGGATGCAGGCAGACCCCACGCATCCATCACAAGGAAGCGGAGCCGCGCTGGGACAGCCCCAGGACACGTCCGCATCGCCACCAGCTGAGCCCTGGAGACATTTGCTGCTCATTTTGGGGTGGGAGGTGGTGGTTTTGGGTCCTTCACAGGCTGCTTCTGTCCTTCGGGAACTGGAAAGCCTCCAGCTCTCCAAAAACACCAGTCCAGGAGCCAGTTGAATTCAAGCTATTTCGTGTTCCTCTGAGCTGTTTTAATTGCTGTGCTGCTGGAGGCTCGTCCCAAGTCTTTTTATCCAAAAGTGCTGAAGTGCAGGCTATTGGTGCCGGGCTATTTTGGTCCCAGAAGCACAGAGCTGCTGGGGATTCAAGCAGAAGATGCTGGCACCAGCTGAGCCTGGCACGCTCGAGGGGGCGGCAGGAGCACGGTGCCATCAGCGAGAACACTGCAGGAAGGTCCTGTGCCCTGGATCGTCATCTCCTGTGCATTTTGCCTCTGCTAATTTAGGCATTGCTGGCATCCAAGGGGTTAAGTCCACCCCAATCCACCCTGATAAATCCCAATTCAGGCTCCTCGTTAGGAAATAGCTGCCCCCAGCCCACCCCCACCACCCTCTGCTGCTGTTGGGGGCAGCATCCTGCCCGTGCCGCGGTGCCTGGCGTAAAATCCCCCAGGGAGGGTCGGCGCTGGCCTCTTGTCGGGCACAAAGAGCTGACACCGCTCGCTCCCATCCTACAAGGGCTTGGCCCGGTCCCAAAAGCCCTGGCGCGATGCGGTGGCTGCGTAAGAGCGGGGCAGGATTGCATCAGCCCCCACCGCGCTCCCCGGGCTGGGGACGGCCACCGGTGTGCGGCTGCCTCCTGCTCTGGGATGCGGTGGCTGCTCCGTGGTGTCCTCCTGCACTGCCCTCGGCCACGGGCAGGATGGTAAAAGCTGGGGCCAGAGCAGGTGAAAGTGGGAAAACCCGGCACGTCGAACACAGTCCTTGCTTTGAAATCCAAGCACGAAGCGAGGGAGCCCCTCTGCTCCATCACTGCAGCCACAATTAGTGTAAGGTGTGCCAGTGAATGAATGAAACGCCCTCTGAAATTCAAGTAAAATCTTAAAAACCTGGTTTTCCTGTTATTTTCCCCCCTCCAGCCCCTGGCCATGATGCTGAACAGCAGCATCGGTGCCTTTGGGGCCGTCTGACATGGGGAGGGGGCGGCTGGCTGGCCCTTGCCGTGCCTTTTCCTTTTCCTCCTCCTTGCTCCCGGGCTCCTTTGGATCCTCCTGAGCTGCTCCCTCCAGGCCAGTGGGGTGGGAATGGGGAGCAATTGCTCGGCAAAGGCCTTAATAGGCGCTTGCCTTAATAATTATTTGAATGAGGAATTCCGCTCCTAAGGATAAGGGTTGTTTGCGTAAAAAGGGAATTTGTCGGCCAAGACGAGCCGTGCAATAATTACTTCTGAAAAACAAAATTTCTTGGCTTTTTGCAGTAATAATGCCATGAGATGCAGCCACTGCAGGGTGCTCTGCCCGGTGGCTGTCATCTGGCAGAAAAAAATCCCAACTCCTTGAAGTCTGGTGCTCGATTTGGAGCAAGGTGAGAGCCTCCTGCTCACCTAATTTCAGGTCTGCGACAGAAACACGCGGGCTGCTGTGAGCTGCGTTTGATCCATGCTTTGGCACGGCTGGATGGAGCAAAGGCAGCGAGGAGCAGTGGCCCTGGCCATACTTTTGGGGCACCCAACCCCAAACACAGCTCCCAGCATGTCCCCGCCTGGGTGCTGTCACCTCCCTCTGTCCTTGTTGTGCCCCCCCGAAGGCTGCCCCATCTGTCAGCCCGGCTGCTCCCGGAGCATCCTCAATGGGATGGTTGTGGGACAGCACTGGGGGGGGTGCTGGGGGGACTGGGAATACTGCTCAAAATGCACTGGGGCTTCCTGGGGATGGGATGGGATGGGATGGGATGGGATGGGATGGGATGGGATGGGATGGGATGGGATGGGGATGGGATGGGATGGGATGGGATGGATGGGATGGGATGGGGATGGGGATGGGGATGGGGATGGGGATGGGATGGGGATGGGGATGGGATGGGATGGGATGGGATGGGATGGGGATGGGATGGGATGGGGATGGGATGGGATGGGATGGGATGGGGATGGGGATGGGATGGGATGGGATGGGATGGGATGGGATGGGATGGGGATGGGGATGGGGGCTTGGAGATCCGGAGCCTGGTGCTGCTCCTTGCAGCTGGGCTCGGAGACGCTGGCTCATTGCAGGATAAAGACACGGGGTGCTTCGGACATGGGAGGTAGCACCCGTGCAGGATGTGCTCTTTCATCCCATGAGCATCAGGAGCTCCCCTCTGCTTTTGGGCTGGAGATGTGCTGCCGATGCTGGAGCCCGGAGCAGGCGGCTCCTGGGGCTGTCACAGTGCCATCAGCCCAGGGGGGGCGCGGAGTCACCTCTGCAGGGACACTGCCCGGGTGCCCTCAGCTCAATTCTTCAACAGCACCTGCAAGAAAACAGCCGGGCACTGGGAAAGCTGAGCCTTGGGACCCTGCTGCAGGAAACCTGGAGGTCAGAGGGACTACAAACCCCCCGGGGTGACCCAGGACAAGGAGCACGAGGCTGCCCTACACCCGGGGCGCACCCACGCACCCTCACCCCTGCCCCCCAGCCACCACCTCTTGCACGCTCGCCTCGAGCTCGCCTTGCACGCCCTGGTGACCGCGGCCAAGCCTTCGCCTCCCCCACTTTTCCCAGCACTCCCCGGCCCTGCCTGCGGGCATCGTTTGGCTCCGGCGCCGTGCGCCCCTGCCAAGCGCCGCCGGGGAGGGCGGCTCTGCCCACGCCACTCGGCTCTGCCCCAGCTGCGGGCAGGGGGTGCGGGGGCTCTGGGGGCTCTGGGGGCTCTGGGGGCTCTGGGGGCTCTGCTCGTTAATGCCTTGGCCCCAGCACGCTGCAGCCACCCCAGCAGCTCGGAGGCCTGTGCCCAGCAGCCTCGGCCAGGCCAGCTGCAAAGTTATTAAATCCCTGCAGCCACCGAGGGATTACGGGTGCGATTAGGGCTTAAGACAAGGGTGACCTCGATCTGGAACGCGGGGCGGACAGAGCCGGGGGGGGGACAAAGCTCTGATGGGAGCAGGGCAGAGCCCAGCGCCCTGGGACGCCGTGCGCCAGCCCCGGCCGCCGTGGTGGCACAGAGGCGTTGGCACAGCCAAGGGCACGGGGGCTCACCGGGGGTCTCCGGGCCACGAGGGCAGGAGGAGGCCCCCTGGGGCTGTCGGGGCTCAGGCTGGGGGTGCTGGGGGGGTCGGAGCACTGCTGCTCCGGGGGATGCACTGAGCCTGGGTCCTGCTTGCTGCTGGGTGAACGCTTTTGGTGCACGCTTACTTGTGGGTGCTTATTTGTGGGTGCCCAATTTCGGTGCCCAATTGTGGTGCAAGCTTGCTCGTGGGTGCAGATTTTTCGGTGCACAATAATTTCGGTGCACGATTTTGGTGTGAGCTTGCTCGTGGGCGCCCAATTTTCGGTGCCCAATTTTTGGGTGCCCAATTTCGGTGCCCAATTTTCAGTGCCCAATTTTCGGTGCCCAATTTTTCGGTGCCCAATTTTTTGGTGCCCCATTTTTCGGTGCCCAATTTTTCGGTGCCCGATTTTCGGTGCCCGATTTTTTGGTGCCCGATTTTTTGGTGCCCGATTTTCGGTGCCCAATTTTTTGGGTGCCCCCCCCCCCCTCGTGGATGCGCCCCTGTAGCTGGGCTCCAGGCTGGTGGGCCCCACCAACTCTCCCTCCACCTCCATCGCCCCTTTAAGAGCTCCGCGCGCGGCAGGAGCGGGGCGGGGCAGGGGGCGGGGCAGGGGGCGGGGCTTTCCCCTCCCTTTGCCGCCGCCGCTGCCGCCGCCGGTGGCGACTTCCGGTGGCGCGCGGCGGAAGTGACGCAGCCGCGGCGGCCGGGATGGCGGCGCCGAAGGTGAAGCAGGACATGGCGCCGCCCGGCGGCTACGGGCCCGTGGACTACAAACGGCACCTCCCGCGCCGTGGCCTCTCAGGTAGGAGCGGGCCCGGTGCCCCCCCCCCCGGTGCCCCCCCCGGTACCTCCCGGTGCTCCCCGGTGCCCGCTGACCGCCGCCCCGCAGGTTACAGCCTCTTCGCGCTCGGTATCGGCAGCCTCCTGCTGGGCTACTACACCATCGTCAAGTGGAACCGGGAGCGCAGGTGGCGTGCGGAGACCCCCGGTGACCCCCGGTTGCCTCCCGGTGCCCTCCCGGTTCTCCCCCGGTTCCCCCCCAGTGATCCCCGGTGCCCCCCCGGTGACCCTTCCGCCCCCTCCCGGTGCCCCCCAGTGACCTCCTCGGTGCCACCCCCGGTCCCCCCCCGGTGCCCCTCGGTAACCCCCGATGCCCCCCCGGTGTCCCCCGGTTGCCTCCCGGTTCCCTCCCGGTGCCCCCCTGGTGACTCTCGGTCCCCTCCTGGTTCCCCTCCGGTTCCTTCCCGGTGCCCCCCCGGTGTCCCCCCGGTTCCCTCCCGGTTCCCCCAAGTGCCCCCTCCCGGTCCCCCCCCGGTGACCCTTGGTGCCCCCCAGTGCCCCCCAGGTTCCTTCCCGGGTCCCCCCCTGGTGCTCCTCCGGGTTCCATCCCCGGTGACCCCCGGGTCCCCCCAGTGCCCCCTCGGGTTCCCCCCGGCACCCCTCACGGTCCCCCCCCCGGTGACCCCCAGTGCCCCCCAGGTTCCTTCCCGGTGCTCCCCCCGGTGACTCCCGGTTCCCTCCTGGGGTTCCCTCCTGGTGCTCCCCCCCCCGATCCCCTCCCCCCCCAAACCCCCCGGTTCCCCCCGTTTCACCCCCTGACCCCCCCACAGCCCCCCCCGGTTTCCCCAAGCCCCCCCCCCCGGTTCCCCTAAGCCCCCCCCCCATCCCATTTTTACCCCCCCGTAGGCGGCTGCAGATCGAGGACCTGGAGGCACGGATCGCGCTGATGCCGCTGCTGCAGGCGGAGGCCGACCGCAGGTAGGGCAGCACCGGGGGGGGGGGAAGTTGGAAAATCCCGGGTGGGGGGGCTCCGTTGTGACCCCCCCCTCCCGGTACGACCCCCCCCGGGCACGGCCGTTGCTTCTGTTGCAGGATCCTGCGGCAGCTGCGGCAGAACCTGGACGAGGAGGCCAAAATCATGAAGGACGTTCCCGGCTGGAAGGTTGGGCACCGGGGGGGGGCTTTTTTTAATTTTTTTTAGGGTGGGGGGCAGCACCCCGGGGTCACCCTGTGATGGGCACAGCGATGGTGTAAATTTGGGGGGGGGGGGGGGCACCGATTTTCCCTGAGGTGGTTGCATGGGGGGCGTGGGTACGGGCTCTACCCCCCCCCACATGTCCCCTTACCCCCCCGGTGTCCCCCCCCCATGTTTTTCATTTTTTTTTTGCCCCCCCCCAGGTCGGGGAATCCGTGTTCCACACCAACCGCTGGGTGCCGCCGACGCTGGACGAGCTGTACTACCTGCGCCCCCCCACCCAGATGGACGCCGAGAAGTTCGGGCTGCAGTATTACGTCTGAGCCCCCCCCCCAAATCCGCCACTTGGGGGGGGTCCTTGTCCCCCCCCCGGGGGTCTCCTGTGTCCCCTGGGGGTGTGTCCCCCCCCCTCGAGCACCTCCCATTAAACCCGTGTGGATATGTGGCTGTTTCTGTGTTGTCATCAATTTTTTACCCCCCCCAAAATTTGGAAATCCCCCCCCCGTTTATGGGGTGCCCGTTCCTCTCCCCCCCTCCCCCTTCGTGCTGCCCCCACAGCACCCAAAGGGGCTGGGGGGGGCGGCGGTGTCAGGGTGCTGCCCCCCCCCCCCCCATTTCCCATCATGGGGGGGGGCTGGGGGCAGGGCAGGGGCTGCAGCCCCCCCAAAATGTGCTGGGGGGGGGGGGACACTCCCCAAATCCCCCACATCAGGGACTTCTCGGTGTCGCAGTTGGGAGCGGGGGGGGCCTGAGGGTCCTGAGCCCCCCCAGACTGGGGACCTGAGGGTCCTGAGCTCGCCCCTTTGCGCTCGCTGCTGCAGCGTCCGCAGGGAGATTGGGGTTAAACCCTCTGGTTTTGGGTTTTTTTGGAGGTTTTTTGGGGTGTTTTGGGGTGATTTGGAGGTTTTTGGGGTTTTGGAGGTTTTTGGGGTGTTTTGTGGCGTTTTGGAGGTTTTTGGGGGGATTTTGGGGTGCTTTGGAGGTTTTTGGGGCTTTGAAGATTTTTTGGGGGTTTTGGAGGTGTTTTGGGGTGATTTGGAGGTTTTTGGGGTTTTTGTTTTTTTCCCATCACTGGGAGAGGGACGGGGGGGGGGCGTGTTAGGGGGAGGGATTTGGGGCGTCCCCATCACCGCCCCTCCCTACAGAGCTCGTGGGGATGGGGGGGGGGTCCCAAAGCACCGCCCGCGGGGGCTGCTCCCGGAGGATGGGGTTGGGGGGGGGGGGTCCGGGTGGGGCGGGGGCAACCGGAGCCGCCTCCCCCGGGCGGCACCGCGCAGCTCCGGGGGGGCCGCGCCGCTGCCACCGCTCCCGCAGGGCTCCGCCGGTGCCCCCCAGGTCCCGGTGCGCCCCCCCCAGGTCCTGGTTCCCTCTGATCCCGGTGCCCCCCCCCCCAGGTCCCGGTATGAGCTCCGCGCCCGGCCCCTCCCGGGAGCCCCCCCGGTATCTCAGGTGAGTCCCAGCCGGTCCCGCGGACCCCCCCCAGCCCCGGGGAGATTTTTTTTTTTGGGGGGGGGGTTATACCTGAGTCCTGCCCCCCCCGGTGCCCATCACCGTGCCACCGGACCCCCCCCGGTGGCGCTGAGCCCCCATCCCCACCGGGACGTGCTGCGGGAGGGGGGGGGCTTCAGCCCCCGGGGTGCCCCCCCCCACCGTGCGGGGAGCCCCCCCCGGAGCAACCGGGACCCCCCTGGACCCCCCCCAACCCTCCAGGGGATGCGAGCGGGACCCCAGGTGGGCTCCGGTGCTCTGCGCCCCCCCCCCCAAAAACACCCCCGGGATGCTGCAGGTGGCGGTGAGGGGGGGGTCGGGACCCTCCCCCTGGATGCTCCGAGCCCCCCACCGGGACCCCCCCCGGTGCTCCCGAACCTCTCCGGCTGGGGACGCGGCACCTCGGGGCCCCCCCCGCGTGTCCCCCCCGGGGGCACCCAAGGGTGCTGCCGGCTCGACCCTGACCCCCCCACCCTTCCGAGCCCCCCCCCCCTCAATAAGACCCCCCCGAGCCGCGGGGGCCGGTACCCAAACGCCTCGGTTGCCAAAGCAACCGCATCCCGGGTCGCCATGGCTGCGGCACGGAGCGGGGGGGGGGGGCGAACGGGGACCCCCCCCCATCAATGGGACAGGGGTTGGGGAACGGAGCGGGGATGCGGATTTGGGGTACGGAGCCCCCCCCCCCCCTGGGGTGCCGGGGGGAGCGGGACAGGGAGGTGACACCGGGGGGGTGCCCTCCGCCATCCTGTGCCCCCCCCCCAACGAGGTTTTGTCCTCCCCCAGTTCGTGGAGGTTGGGTTCAACTGGGCCGGACTGGGCTGTGCTGGGTGTCTTTGAGCCGGGGGGGGGGGGATCAGAGCCGGGTTTGCCCCCCCCCGGGACATCCCTTTGGGGATCCTACAGGTCCCATGGGGACGGCACAGTGCGGCGCTGGGGGCTGTGCGCTTTTTGGGGGGGGGCGCAGCTCCCAAACTGGGCACCAGTCCAGGGCCGTGGCAGCCCGGTGATGTGTCCCCCCCCCCCGCCCCCCCGGGGACAAGGACATCGGGACCGGGCCCAGCTTTTCCCTGCCAGCAGCAATTAGGGGCGATTTTCCTCCCCCCCCCCCCCGCATCCCGAGCGCCAACACAGCTGCGGTGGGGCCGGCCCCCAGCGGCTGCTGCCAACGCGGGGGGGGGACCTCGGGGCTGGATGTGTCCCCTTCTTGTGTCCCCCCCCCGCATCCCAGTTTGCCCCACAGCACCCCGCTGTGTGGGACTGGGGCCGGGCTGGGACTCACTAGAGGGCACCAAAGGATTGGGAACTGGGATGGGATGGGGATGGAACTGGGATGGGATGGGATGGGAACTGGGATGGGATGGGGATGGGATGGGACTGGGACTGGGATGGGGAAGGGATGGGAACTGGGATGGGGATGGGATGGGATGGGAATGGGATGGGAATGGGATGGGAACTGGGATGGGATGGGGATGGGATGGGATGGGAGCTGGGATGGGAACTGGGATGGGATGGGATGGGACTGGGACTGGGATTGGGATGGGACTGGGATGGGACTGGGACTGGGATGGGACTGGGACTGGGATGGGGATGGGATGGGAACTGGATGGGATGGGACTGGGACTGGGATTGGGATGGGGATGGGATGGGAACTGAGATGGGGATGGGGATGGGATGGGAACTGGGATGGGACTGGGATTGGGATGGGGATGAGGATGGGAACTGGGATGGGACTGGGATGGGATGGGGTCGGACTGGATGGCCAGCACTTGGGGACCTGTGGGATCTGCCAGGGTATCCAGGGGGTGCATGGGGGGGTCTGTGGGGTCAGCCAGCACATCAGGGGTCTATGGGGTCTGTGAGGACAGCCAGGCGATGGGGGCTGTGGGGTCTGTGGGGTCTGCTAGAACGGCCACGGCACGTCACGTCTATAGGGGTCTATGGGGTCTCGCAGAGGGTCCAGGGGGTGGCGTGGTACAGGACCTGCTGGGACATGGGGTCTGTGGGGTCAGCAGTGGCTGCGTGAGGCCCCCCCAGCAGCCAGGTGCCCCCCAGGACCCCGTCCCCATCCCCTCCAGCTCCTGGGTAGCACCACCCCAGCGTCCCCTCCTACAGCCTGGACCCAGTGAGGTGCGCCCCCCAAAATCAGAGCCCCGGATCCCATTGTGTAACGATCCCATTACCCCCCCTGCTCCCACCCGACACCTCCAGAACCCCGCGGTCCCACAGCACCCATGGGTGCTGGCACCGGCACCGTGCCGGGGCTCCCCGGGGGCCGTAAATTTTCCTCCCGGCGCTTTGGGGAGCTTGGTGCTGGCTTCTCCCGGGGCTCCGATTTCCCCGTCCCTCCCCAAAAAATCCCGGCGGTGGGGGCCTGGCCGCGGCACGCGCTGTTCCCATCGGCGCAGGTGAGCCAACAGATGGGAGCAATTATTGGCCCAGCCCAGGCTCCCCGACCCTGCCAGCTCCCGGGCTCGGCGGCGGGCGAACAACCGCGGCATTGTTCGGTTTTATGTAAGAGCACGAGAGCCCGGAGAGCCCGGGGACGCTGCCAGGGCCGTGCCTCGCCCCAAAAAAAAACGGCCGCGACCCCGCGCGGCACCGCTGCCAGCCCCAAACTGGGCACGTGGCAAGCGCAGGGGGCTCTTTCCACGCTCATCTGGTCCCCAATTCCTCCCCAAAAACGTGTGACCCACTGGCGGGTGTCCCCCGGGGATGCCCGTGTCCCCGGGGATGGAGTGGGGTCCCCAAGGGGCTCGGTGAGCGCCCCGGGGACGTCCCCGTCCTCACTGCTGCCCCATTCCCCGCAGCAAGGCGGAGGCGGAGGCCATCGAGAAGGAGCTGCTGGAGGATTACCGCTTCGGGCGGCAGCAGCTGATCGAGATCTGGGGACACGCCTGTGCCGTGGCCGTCACCAAGGTGAGGGAGGCAGCAGGGCTGGGGACACCCCAAAAGGGACAGGGGCTTCGCTGCCAGCCCCGTCCCATCCCACCCCATCCCACCCCAGGGAAGGTGCGTGCAGGCAGGAGGGTGCCGGGGGGCATCCAGGGGGGCTCATCGTGACCTGGCACCGCTCAGTGCTGGGAGCCTGGATGCTCGAGCTGGGTGCGAGGAGGAGGAGGAGGAGGAGGAGGAGGAGGAGGCAGCAGCGATGCTCCGGGCAGTGGAGGCGCAGCACCAGGGGCAGCTTCGTGCCTCAGCGGGGCGGCGAGCTCTGCTCCCTTGGCTCAGCTTTTCCATTCGAGGCGTCGGGGCCGCTCTCTGCCCTCCTATTTTTAAGGGCACGGACTTTGCCCGAGGAGCAAAAAATATTTGGGTGTCGGTGGTCAGCGGGGCTGGCTCAGCCCCAAACCTCTCCCCCGGGGCACCCCCAGCTCGCAGCATCCCCAGCTCCACCGTGAGCATCCTCCTCCTCCTCATGGGTACCACGAGGGGAGAGCATCCCCAGGGCCCCCCAGCATCGTCCCCTCCCCGGGCTGCCCCCAGCGCATCCCCAGGAGCCCCGAGGCAGCTGGAGATGCGTTCGGGGCCGCAGCCAAAGGCAGGGCCAGGGCTGGGCGAGCGGGGCTGTGTCCAGAGCAGCAGCGGCTGCGAACTGGCCCTGCTGCCTCTCGGGGCTCCGGTGTTTGGATTGAAGCGGGAGCCAAGCTCGGCGAGCAGGAAAAAATCTGTTAATGGATAAACAGAACCTCCCCGGGCAGGCTGCTGGTATGTGGAGCGCCGCCGCCTCCCAGCAGGCTGGCGGGGAGCCCCGGCCCGCTGCGGGCACCGTCCTCACCCCACCATGGGCACCGTCCTCGTCCCACCATGGTCCCCGTCCCCATCCCACCATGGGCACTGTCCCCGTCCTGCTGAGGGCACCGTCTCCATCCCACCATGGCACCATCCCCATCCCACCACCTGCATCATCCCATTGTGGGAATCATCTTTCCAGCCACGGCACCATCCCCATCCCACCATGGGCAC